TCATGTCTTTTCTACTCCGTCTGAGAATCATCAAACTGTCTCGAAGCAAAACCTTCAGCTCCGGTGTTGGTCTTCCTTTAGTTATTATCTCCTGCTTCAATTGAAAATCCACTTTAGAAAACTGTTTAAGTGTAGAAATGTAGTTTTTTATGTTGACGTCGGAAGAGAGGAGAAAACAAATATATCGCTGTACTTTACTTATTTACTGTATGGCTAATTCCATGGCTAGCTCACTGTGTCTTACTCTGCAGCTGTGGAGTCACAATATCTGGGATCATGAGCGCCCCCTGCCATGAGGCAAGAGAACTGCCTGCCTCCCCTGGAGTCTGTTCTCTGCCGTTTCTGATCGCTCCTCCGCACACAAAACACGATACACACAGCTGGTGACAAAAAAAAAACACTGTACATTATATACATAAGCGAAATTATGGAAAATCAGTCCATATATTAAATGTTTTTTAGCCATTTTATTGCTGGCGTACAGACAGGACGAACTTGCCCCCATGAATGGCAGCCAGTGCAGTTAGCGAGAGGTTGCAAAATCCCAGGTGAGGCTGCTGCCTCACCGGCTTCGCTTCTGAGGATTTGATTGGAAAATTGCAAAAATTCAGCAATTTTGAAGAAAAAGTAACCAAAACTGGTTAAGCTAAATAAAAAATGTATACTTTATAGTACAAACCACAGGGTGAAAATAGCAATATAAATGGTCTTATCATTATATCCATTGTGTATTATTTTTCCATGATGACAGGTGAGGCTCGGCCTCATCTGCCTCCCCTGACCGCACGTCACTGATGTCTACAAATATTATTACTGACAAAAACATCTATAACTCACTATCAGCTTCTGAATTGAAGAGACACTGATCTAAACCTGCTAATGACTGATTCAGTCGTTTGATTCTTGGATTGGTAACTGGTTAAACTGAACTGCTTGTGTGCGATCTTTATCAGTATGTGGACATTTTTGAATGAATTTAATCAATTTATTTGGAAAAGTTTGTGGTTAATGGAAGACTGATCCAGTTATTTGATGGAAGTTTATCCTGTATATATTGTAAATCATTTTTCCAACTACAATACAAATCACCTGTGAGTTAAATCAACCCTGATCCTCCCTGAGTTTTATCTTTGGGTCTTCTGATAAAAAGTAATTTATTCTGAATATTGATTCCCTCATTTTAACATGCAGCATCATAAAAGCTACACTATGGTGCAGCTTGATAGGTAAATGTAGTTCTATATGTCAACTAACATTAAGATAAACATTGATGGATATTCATTAGCGTGACCTTATTAATGTACCTGTGAGTGTAAATGGGGAACTGTACGGTTTGTGTTTGTTTTCAGTCCTATAACCAGTACACTCTTTAATATTTCAGTGTCTTTCAGAACTTCTCTAAGGTTTATCATCTTTCTAACCAGTGCCTTCCTCTCTCTTATTTTTTGTGTTTTTCAGCTGCTGCTCAGCAGTTTGAGCCAAAGCTGATAGTAGAGAACCAAAGTGATGCCAACCAGAGTCAAACCTGGTTCATGCACTACAAGGCTTAACCTCATTGATGCTGTTCATCCACGGAGAGTAGGCTGTTGTTCTGACAGTCAAACAGGAGTCAAAAGTGTTTACAGCTTTGTCCCTGTTTTCTTAAATAAAATGTTATATTCATGCCATGTTGTCATTTTTAGGCATGTGTACACACATTTCTGGAAAAATGTTAATTTAAGATCATTATGAATACCCATCATCTGCCAATAAAATTGTGTATTTAACACCAATGAAGAAACTTTTAATCACATGATATGATGTAGACCTTTCAGACCAAAAAATGTACATGAATCAACATTGATTAATTAGCCAAATCAACCCATATGTGCATGTAGATCCACAATCAGATGATGGTTGAATCAACGTTGATTCAACCATCAGCTACGGTTGAAACCCTAACGTTGATTCAACATGCAAGTCGCCGACCACTTTCAATTGTGTTTCAATGTCAGGCTTCAGCGTAGATTCAATATTTCTGCCTGACGTTGTTTCACTCATATTGTGCTATCTGGGTGGTCGCTTTAAAAATGTCCCAGTGCTTGCCTGAGGTTGATGTGGTGAGCCTTAGTGAAATAAAATAAAAAAAATCTCCTCTTCTACAGAATCAAGCCTTCTTAAAAGCAAGAGGTGAGAAAATGTTCTTCATTACAATCCATCACGGGTAAACGGCCTAAGCAGGAGCGGGAAGCTCCACGGCGCTGAGTGCTTTCAGAGAACAGGCTGAGCCACGGGGTGTCGGGTACTCACTGTAGGAACATCCGAACACCTCCACTCTCAGGCCCATCCACCCGCTGGGGTTCCAGTCAAGAGGGACAAAGCGCAGGAAACGCGTCTTCACCGGGTGGGACAGCTTGTTCTGGACAACCGTCTCCGAGTTCACATTCCCGTCAAACCTCTGCAGGAAGAGGGAGGACAGAGAAGCATTAATAGAGAACAAGCCACCAATGGTCTACTTGGATCTGGTGAGCGCAGTAAAAGTCTCAGGAGGGTGAAGAAATGCGCATCTCCTGAGCACCATAAACAGAAGCAGCATGAAAATCTAAATCCTTCTCCAGCCAAAACAAAACAAAAAAAAAAAAAAAAAAAACATAATTATGACAGGACCAAGGCAAGGCCAATGTCTGCTTCTTGAATAAACTATTTGATGGAAAGTGATAAGAAGGATGGTGTGCTGGAGAAATGTGAGAATATTCGTTCTAACAGCACCGTGAGAGGTGGAGGAGAAATGACCACTGAGGCAGCCCGAGGCAAAATAAGGGCTCTCATATTGTGTTTTTCTCCCTGCAGAGCTAAAAGCAAAGACCTCTGAGTACAACTATGAGATGTCATTCTTCTTTTGCTTTTTTTCCACCCCTCGCTGACTTCCAGTCTGCACCAGATAACGCCAGAGGACATAAACAGTGAAACACAGTGAAAGATGGAGGCTGAAGCAGAGACAAACAGCCTCTCCTCTAAAATGACTGATTACCAGCTCCACCATAACCGATTTCTGGGCAGGTGACACATCAAATCAATAAGCACGAGAAAGAACCAAGATGATAGATCTTTGACAGAGAGGCTCCAGGCTTTTAAGAATAGTTCAACAGAGTCAGACAGGAAAAATCATTCAGCTTGCTTTCGGCACCAAGAGAACACAAAAGGAAGGAGCTGGAATGACCGTGGGACGCTCGTGGAGCGCTGTGGAGCAGAGGCATCATTAAATGGAGCAGGACCCAGCTTCTTACTGGATAATCAACGCTGCAGCAGAGTGCTGTCGCTGATTTATGCCACTGCTTTCACCATTTTGAGCCATGGGCTGAGTGGAGCCTGGTGGCGGAGTCTTAAAACAGGAAGAGCTGGCATTATCACAACACGCGCTATAAGTCACATCAGCACAGGAGGGATTAGCTAACGCCACTGGGCTTTGCTTGTGTGGTTAATGTGTGTGCATTACCCCAGCTCTGCTGTGGAATGTTTCTGAAGGAAATGAGGCAGGCCAAAAAAAAGCGTGCTCAGATGTTCAGTGTGAAGGTTGGAAACTCCACGTCGGTTGTTTTGATGCAAACAGTCTGCTGTGGATGCTACACTCAGCTGCCGTCCCAGCATTAATTTCATTTAACTGCTGTTAGGTACTTAAAAGCTCGCACTGAACCACTAAAAGTGAAAAGTAGGCATTTCCAGATCAAATATTCATCCGTAAGGATGAGTAAAACGGAAAGTTGAAGGAAACGATGCATTCTTAGCAATAAATCATGAGTGAAATTTTGTGAGGCAGGAAAAGGACGAGGCTGATTTTCTGAGTGAGGACTCACTGCAGATCCAAGCCCCCCTCCATCCCCCGAATCAATCGGCTGCAATGCCTCCTCAGCATGTAGTCAAATTCTACAGAGTCCTGCTAATGACCTCATTATTCGATTCAGTTGTGTTGAAACAGAGACACGTGTAGAAGTCGCTGGACGCTGGTCCTGGAGGGCTGCAGTTGGGCATCTCTGGACCGCTGGGTGTGCTATGACCATACAGCACGAGGATAAAGGAAATTCAGAGTAAACCTGAAGGTTTTACATGTATTCTTACTCCTTCACAGGTGATTCAAATGGCTGAATCCTCTGCAGAGGCCTTCTAAAGAGCCAGTTATTCAGGACTCACAGACATGCAGGACACCGGCGCTTAATAACTGTATTTATCAGGATGAGCCTCCTGTGTTGTCCAATGGAGGTTGACAAGGATGACGAGATTCAGTCCAGATGTTGGACAGAGGTGGTTGTTTCTTCAGCATGTTGTCAAAACACTGAGGGACCATGTCTCTCAGTCTTTTCTAGCAGTGTGTATTTTGTCCTGGAAGAAAAAAGTTCTCCCCCACCTTTCAGTTGGATTTCTTTCAAAATAAAAGCCACTAGTGGCAAAAAAAAAGTGAAGTTCATGCTATGTTAGGAGACAAGATGTTTCCTTCCCTGAAATTATGATGCATAGAATCACATGTCTAAGTCCAAACTATGTTACAGAGAGTAAACACAATAAAAACATGCTTTATCTGTGGCATTGTTCAATAAGATGGCACATTTCTAATGTATTAAAATTAAATACAATCGGTTCACTTAATGATATTGTATTAGGGATTAGGTGCATTCAGCAAGTACTTTTACTTTTAATACTTAAGTATTTTTAAAAGCCAGTACTTTTTTACTTTTACTTAAGTAAAATGTTAATGTGGTACTTTTACTTTTACTTGAGTACATTTTTTTGAGTACTCTCTCCACCACTGCATATGAGTATTGCATTGAGGCTTTTGTAGTTGTGATATTACACACACTGGTATTCTGTTTATAATTACAAGTCCAGGTACTGTGCTGTTCTAGTAGGAACAACATTTTTTGTAACATCTGAAGTTTTGTAATTTGAGAACCGTATTTATACGTCATATGTGACAACAGTAATGAGCATGTATCTGTTTCATAACACTTAGCTAAACAGAGAGCGTCCCTGGTCACACAGAAATACTGGTCTCAGAATTGCAGTGCATAAAAAATAGAGACATATAAGAATGAATTACAACTGTCAGACCAGACTTAGTTTTAATTAGTATTCAGATAAGTTGCTGCACAAATTATCTTTTAATTTCACTACAATGAATCATTTATACTTATATCAATTTGCGCAGCAGGTCTTTTTACACAGAGGAGTGGTCCAGTTTCATACAAATCACACAGATCCTCTTTCAGAAGAAGAGAAAGAAAAAACAAACAAAAACAAAGTGTAGGATTTTATTGTTGAAGAGACTTTAACAGACTGAGAAAAATCCAATTTTCCAACCAGAGTAATCCTGATGAAATCAAGTGAAAACAATCATAAACATTAAAGTGTACCCACATGTGGAAAAATACCTGAAAATAGTGATGCAATTTATCTTGGTAGTCATTGAGTGGCAGTTGGAATCATTAACGTCTCCAACATTAAAAACTAAGAAACTGTCCCACAATGTTCCTTCACAAATATCCTTCTACGAAACTGAATAGACTAAAAACCTCGTATCTCGATGTTTTACCGTCAATCGCTTTTGCTTCTGTTTCCACCAATAAATATCCAACAAAAAAAAAACATCTAAA